TACTGCTTGCAAACCAATGATGGTAAGATGATGTCATGGGGTAGGACTGGATAAGTCTGACTTCTTCCTACTCCATTCAAGCATGTACTAGGTATAAGCAAATTGATATTGGATTAGCATTTGTTGGATATGTTTAAAATTATGTGTGTTGATATATCAACTGTCTTTACATGCTTGAAAGAATAAATAAAAATAAATACATAAATAAAAATAACCTGCATATAGTTGTATATTTATATTGTGTATGTACTTTATACTGTTTGTAGGAAAGGTTTCTCCTGTGGCACAATGTAGTAACTGCTTCACCACTGTTAAAATATTAATAGTAATAACAGTGGATTCTGACAACAGAAAGGCGATTGATGACCTTGAAGCCATGGTACAACTCTGTTGGGAAAGGTCATCATTAAGTTAAAAATATTGTTTCATTACCTGAATTCTACATTACAGTTTTTCTTTTTTTCATTGATTTAAAGGTTTCCTGTACAATGCAAAACCACATTTGTTCATTTTGCTGATGTCCCATTCATTTCCACAAAGTCTATTTTTTACTGTGGTATCAAATGTTGAAGTCTTCTCCTTCTTCCTGTTACATTTAGGCACATGTGATTGTTGATTTTCTGCTAGGGAAATAATTAATATCATTTGATATTGTGTGTCCCTGGGGGTGCAGGAAAGTGAACAACTGTGCATGGGAAGAATGTATTGGTGTGTGCTGGTTAATGGACTGACTGTTGCACAGAAGAATAGCTCTGAAACAGAGGCAAGGTCAGTGCCAGTCTTTCCTGTCCTTTTCTTTGCCCTTGTGCCATGTCATTTTTTTTTTGATAGAGGGAAGTTGGCAGCTACCACTCAGCAGTGCAGACAAAATCACTTAAGCTTGTCACTAGAACAGGAGGTGGAGGAAAGCCTAACGTTGACGGTGTGTGATTGTGGAAATTGTACCATGATTGGTTGTCTGGCTGACAGAACGTGCAGCTTCCGAGAGGCCTTGTTGGTAGTGATGAATTGTTGACTGACTCGTTGTTATTGCTGGTGATGGAACCTGCCAAGGTATGGTGGCATCCAAGCTTGGAGCTTGATGGAATGGGTGGTTGTGAATCTAGCCAGGAGCGACATTTTTATTTACTTCCATATAAATTTACAACAAACAGAACCATTTGATAGTATTTTTTATTTACAAGATATTTTTACTACAGTGATTCATATGATAGCTATAGGAAACATTTTGTTAGAGGCCACACTCACATGTTTATTAATTCTAGTCAGTGAAACAACCCTACTGAATCCTGCAGGGCTAAAACAGCCTTGATAATTTAACAATCTCAGGTACAGGTCAGCTTCAGCATGTTCTTGCTGCATATTCTTAGACCATCACCTGTGTATAATGTGCTAATGATGAAACCTCACTACAAACACTTTGGGAATTTGTACTGCATCTAAACATCTGGATACCCACAGATAGAATCTGACACCCTGGCCCAGGTCCACTAACATTTATTTACCTACAGTAAACAAAAAACATGTTCCGATTTTTGTTCCCACTCTGTACACTGTAAGAGACTTATTACAGAATCTACAGTCCTCCCTCTGTGCAAAAACCATTCATTCAGGTCAAGGTAATATAAAGCTTCTGCAGTTTGATTTGCTAAATCAATGGATATCTTCCACAGACATTCTCCTTTTCCTGAAGTCGTTTTCACCTTAAATGTACTATGTCAAGATGAAATTAACATATTGTAGAAACAGAATGAACTAAGTGAAATGCCTATTATATAAATACATTATGTAATTTACAAAACTGCAAATGCAAAGTTAGTTAAAAGTATAATTTACTCTGCCCACAGTAAAATAAACCATGCTACCGCTGCCACTGATTTGCGGTGGTTGCCGCCCAGCGCTAATTGCTCCAGGTGTGTTGCTAATTGTTGCGGTGGTGGTAAAAGGCTGCGGTGCTGCTTTCTAATCGAACTGTACATCTCCGATCATACTTTTGCAAACTTTAACCGTCGTTAAAAGTGTTCTTCTCCATGTGACTTTTATTTCGGCGCACTCATGCCACTGTGAAGAAAGATGCATGCTATGCTTAACTTCTCGACCTTTGACAACCTGTCGAGTGTTGACCTCCAGAGTCTGCAGGAGCAGAGTCACCGGTCCATCAAAGTAAGCATAATAATCGTTTTGGGAGTGATGATCACTTTGGGAAATATTGCAGTTCTACTGGTTATTACTTCCTCCGTGGCTGGTTGGTCAAGAAGCTCTCGGTACCTTCTCCTCTCTCTCACTGCTGCAGACTCTGCGTTTGTATTGCTGGTCATGCCCTTGAATCTCTGGGTGAGTTTGCTAAAGGACTACACTGAAGGGCCAGATGCTTTTTGTCATGTTGTGGCCTTTTGTAATGCCACCGTCTACTCCACCTGCATGTACACGCTGGCCATGATAAGTTTAGAAAGGTACATTGCAGTGTTTTATCCACTGCAATACTCGTCTCTGATGACAAGAAAAAGGACCCTGCTCCTCATTGCCTTTGCCTGGTGCTTCCCTCTATGTTTACTGTCGCCAATATCATTTCCAGATGGCATTATCGAGGTTCATTTTTCTACTGCATCACTGGTCTGCAATCCATCATACTCTACTAACGTTGGATACTCCCTCAGCCTGACGTGCTTTATATTTTTCCCTTGTTCCATCATCATGACATACGCAAACCTGAGGGTGTACTGCGCTGCCAAACGACAGAGACTGAAACTGCGCAAATACGATTGCGCGCGTTCCAACAAACACAATGTGGCATCCAGAGTGCTCGTGCCCGTGATGGCAGCATATTACACGTGCTGGACACCCTGCATTGCAGCTATGATCTACAATGGTAAGCAATGTCAATGGGAATAAATGTTTTTAAACAAAGTGATTTGAGAGGGCGCTAAAACCTAAGAGGTGGTCTGGATACCATGTGTAGCTGATGGTACTGAGAAACTGCTTGGACCATACTGATGGTACATGCATGGAAATTTAATTTGACTGCATAGCTCAGGGGGAAATCTCTTGTTTGCATCCCTTCTGTACTTTTACCACATGTTCGCTTTTCTTTTTAACATTTACTCAAATAACTGAACCTAGTAACTAAGGAAAGGAAGCCAAATGTGTTCAGATTCCAAATTTAATGAAAATCTAACTACATAAGCATTAATCATTGACAACAGTAAAACTGTTATGTGGATGTTTGTGTGTTTCTCTTGGATTAGTGTAACCAGGTCATTCATCTGCAGAAAGTCAAGCCTTTATACCATAAGGAAGAAAACTAGAGAATACTGATGCAGATGCATCCTGTTGATGTATATCTAGACTGACACTGACTGTTAAACGGTTCTTTAAAAAAAAAAAACAGTTTTGGTGATTTAGGGTTTTAGAACTAAAACAAATTCAACTGGACCCAGTTGATGGTCCAGTTGAAATGCAGAACTACTGTCCCATGGCTACTTAGGCAGACAAATAACATCATCCTGGTATATGATTTTTAGCCTTGTTGTTTTTAAATCTAAGGGGAAAAAGTCAAAGGGCCTTGCTGACAGTGTTATATTTTTATGCTAAATCAAATTACAAAGATGGCAATAGAACTCAAAAGTAGGAATTTGAATATCCAAGATTAACATGCTGTTAAGAAATCTAAGTGCAACACCCCCCAGATTGTTCAGCTGGGCCTGTACAAGAGAAATAGCTGTCAAAGTTATTTATGTAATTCTGGGCATGAATATACTGATTCAAAGCCAGTTTTATGACTCAGACCTTTTTTGACTTTTTCTCATTTACCTCAACCATGTGCTGTCTTGGAGTAATCGAGACTGAAAGTGGAATGGCAGCTGAGTATTTTTAGAAGTAAAGACCTTTTCCATAGAGGGCTGTAATTCATCTGATATGGATGAAAATCCCTGCAAAATGAAGCTGACAGTCTTAAGTTAAACTTCAGAGTGTGATGCTGTCTGGGAGTCTCACTTTAAAGTGGCTGCTTCCGCCCACCAAATCTCTTCAGTTAACTTTGTACTTTAAGAGCTAGACTATAACTGTTACATTGATGGCTTCGTATCCTGTCACATCGCCAGGAGTAATCTTTAATAATTTACTACCAGTTAACATTTTACATGCTCATCTATGGTTTTATTAATATCAATTTATATACATCATCATAGCTAGACTATTTAATATTAAAGGCCAGCCACTTGTATAAGTTGACGGCTGCTGTCTTGTGTTAACTCTGTCTCCATACTTGTCTTACTTCAGCTCCCATGTCTTCTGCCCCACAGCAATCTCAGGTAGTAGCGTACCAGAGTGGCTTGAGTTCGTGGTGGTATGGCTACCAACCTCCAATGGTTTCCTCAACTGCATCTTCTACTTCTGGATAAACCAATGCTTCCGCAGGAAATTCTGGCTCATCCTTCAAAGGCTGGCTCTAGCCCTCTGCCCCAAACTGGCCAACACCCTCGGATGCTACAGCACTTCAAAGACGCAGTTTGTGTCAGGAATTTTCTACAATAACAACAGCGTCCATGAGCGTTCCGCCAGCGTGTCGTCCACCTGTACACTGCTGTCCTTGGCTTAGGACGTCCGCACCCGAAGAGCACCATGAGCATGGTAAAGAACATGATCACTGACCTCTGTATTGTCTTGCTGGACTTGTCAACTGAAGCAAAGTTACTGATGTGCCCCTATGTCAGTTATTAAGGGTAAGAAAAAAAATAATGGCTCACATGGATTGCTGTGCAAATAGCCCAATACTAAGGCTACAGTGATTTTTAGCAAGTGTAAGTCTAAAAAATAGTGTCCAGTTGACTGGAACACAGCCTTAATTTATAAATATGCAGATTTCTTGTTGTACATACATTAAACCATATTTTAGTTATTTTATAGCTAGCCATAATCCTTGTGTGTGTGCCCCAGAAATGCCAGCTATCATTCTGTGTACAGCTATATAATTTGTATTTTAATAATGCACCTGTAATGTATTTAGACTTGGGTCAACATGTTTCACTTTAAGTATTTGAGTCTGGCCTATTGGTTCATCAGAAGAAACGGATATTTAGACTTTTTTTCATGCGAAACGTTTGTGAATAAATGTCACTATTTGATTATAAGCAATTTGAAGGACTGAGGACGTCTCCTCTTCAGTTTAAACTGCGCATCAAACAGTTTGACATAACAGCTGCTGGAAGTTAACCTTTAAGTCATAGCATTTCAGTGTATGCCAAAAGTAATTAAGCTAAACTGTAGAAAGGTCATAAAATTTGTGCCGGCAAGAGAGAACTTCTGAGAGTGTGGTTGTTTACTTTGAGATATTAAGCCCGGGATCTTCCACCAGTATCTTGTACTACAGCATGGATTCAACTCAATGTCCATGCCATCTTGGTCTGAATAGAGTTTACTGTTAAGGTGAAGGTTCATTTAGATTTAAAGTTAATTAAGTGTGTAATTGTCCAGAAATTTAGAACAGTTTTATGCAATTATTTTTAGCCTTTGGGTTGCCTCTTGGTGTCAAGATCATCAGAGGCTGTCCATTGAGAAATGGTGGCACTTGCCACAAACTTCTAGAAATTGAGGATGAGATAATGACTGTCACTAAGTTGTGAGGAAAATGACGTGTGTGTGTGATACATTTTGTTATGTTTCTAAATTACTAATATAAAAGTTTTTGTTTATGGTTTATCTGTGAAATAAAGCATTATGCCTTAGAAAGTGTCCTCATTTAGTCCAAGTTTGATATTTTACAAACGTGTCATTAGTAAAAAAAAAAAATCACTTCATTGTAATGCAGAATTGAAATTGCCTTGATGAAACTCGGGAACAATGACGGAGTTGCACCACTCTTCCCTTTTCCATGGCCGGACTGTTTTGTTTAGTAATGCGGTATGCAGAAAATTATGATTGATTAGTAAACACTTTACTTTTGTGAGTATGTTCTTCAGGGGAGAAAAAAAAAAAAAAAACTAAAGTGAAGCATGTTTTTATTGTGGGAAGTGTCTTTAATGAACCCTTTAGCTGCCAAAGCTACAAAGTCCACTTGGGATTCTCTCTGCTGACAGAAAATTTGACATTGGTTCTGTGTATGTGTGTTTATCTCTGTTACTATAGTGAATACAAAAAATTTATTTTCAACATTATCCCTTGTAAAACGGAAACTGAATATGTATTTCATGAATAAGTGAACTTTTTAACTAACTCGTATCATTTGTCGGAGATTGTATTTATTCCTGTAGCATCCATAAGTGTTTTTCCAGTCATTTGAGATTTTGCCGAGCAGGTCTCACAGGACACTGGAGTGCTGTGCATTAGCAGCCCTGGTTCTTCCTTGAGGAAGGCTGCTGATAGAAACAACATTATGTTGTCTTATAAGAGGCTGTAATTCTATGGTTGTAATTGACATAGATGTGAAATAGCTAATGGTTTTGGGTCAAAAACAGGGAAAGGGGACATTACTGTACAGTACCTGTTTATGTACAGTACTTCAGACTAGCACTGTTTAATACATGGACTGCAATGGGAAAAGTATAGTCTTTAGTTTTTAACCGTTTTTATACCATCTTATTGCACACAGTCTTTATCAGTATAACACAATGCTGCAGGATGTTTTTCATCAATGCATAATGTCTTACCCACCATGTGTGACAGCATTTTGTTTATTATATTTATTCAATGCCAGTACAATCTGGGGATAACTGTGATGAATTTATTAGAGTGGGTGCAGAAATCTGTTTATCAATTTTAATAGCGATTTTTCCCTGTTCCTGGCAAAGGCCAAATGAAACACCTGATGTATTAACATCTTGAGGATGTTGTGCCACCTTGTGTTCAATCTAAGTATGGCATAGCAGAGAGGAAGAACCCTTTTACACATCAATACATTTAAAATTTATTTTACCTGTGGTAGTAGTGTTAAACAGAATGAACGATGTAATTTTATAAAGTTAATTAAATTTTATAATTGAAATTTCATACTACTGACTGTGTGTTTTAGCATTATTCGAGGTTTCGTCGTGTTGGATGAAGGATGCAAAAGGATGAATCAATGGGTGTTGATTTGTGCTTTCTGTGGTTTGCTGGCTATGGGCACTCTGTGCTGTGAGGGCTCTTGTGGAGGTTGCAGATGGAAAGGCTTTAATTTCAATCTGCTTCCTGCTCCTCTCCGCAGAAAAAGTAGCAGATAGGAGCAGGCATATGCAGGACTCAAGTATTATGCACTTTGTGCTTGTATTGCACTAAAACAAATCAGAGTGCATACCCACATTATCAGCTACCTTAATGGATTTTGTACCAAATCACAATGGCACAATGATTACATTTTAAACAAGATACCAAAGTATAAAGATTTTTCAGTTATGTAAAGCATGAAAAATTGACTTTTTTTCTTGCTGTTATGCATTTGCTTCCTATGATCACAATGTGTTAGTGTTAAACAATTAGGGTTTTGTGCATTTTTTTTTGAAGGAGCTCATGGCCTTCAGTCATCAAAGTATGAATAAACACCCATCTCAGCTACTGTAGCCAAGAGCAGGTACACAGAGTGAATTTAAGCTGGGCTGTTAAATTTTCATCTGTATTCATTTCGAATTTGCACAGCACTGTCAGGATATACTATCCATTATTGAGTTGATAAATTTTTAATGGAAAAGGAAAACTACATAATGGTGGATAGGTTATTTACCCATACAAACAATCTGTCAGTTTTGTCATAGTTGTCTTGAGATTTAGAGCAGCCAGATGGTTAAAGAGTAATGTACACTGGTGATGTAACAGTGGTGACCATGCAGGACACAAGGCTGTGAAACGACAAAAGCAGCTCTATTCACTAGCCACCTCATCTAATGACAAAATGATGTGTGTGAGTGGAGCTGTCTCCATTAAAGGTGTTAGCTGCAGTAGACCCCCAGAGTGCTTTTGGTTGAAAGAACGCACTGCACTGCAGCTGGTTTCCAGGAATGATGGGTGTACCAAGAGCAGATGCTTGTTTGTCTGTCATCTCCAGCTAACATTGCAGACAGTTTTCTCAGATTATCATTTTGTTCGTCCTTTGTGATCATACTAACCTCGTTCTACAACCAACCAACATTTAACAAACGTATTTATGAGCAAATAGTTTCAAACCTTGCATCAGAAAGCATTCATACATTTCCCACTTGCGAAAATGTGAGTTTGGTCAACATGAATGGGTATTTAGCATGTTTTCATTACATCTACTGCAAAAGCAAATGTACCTAACAAAGCAAGAATCCAGGATAAGGGTTCTATTAGGTGATGAAATATTTATTGAAGAAATATTCTAGAGGGATTTTTAATTCATCTTTCTTCTTCTTCTTAAGTATCTTAAAATGATTTCATTTACAGTTATAGTCATGGCCAGAAATATTGGTATTCCTGCATTTCTGTCAGATAATGCACCACTTCTCCCAGAAAATTGTTAATCACATTTTTTTGTATTCTCATGTTTATTTCTTTTGTTTGCATTGGAACAACACAAAAATCCAAATCTGTTACTTTCCACACAAAAATCCAGAAATGGACTCGACAGAATCGTTGACACCCTAAGCTTAATATTTGGTAGCACACCCTTTGGACAAAATAATCAATCACTTCCTGTAGCCATCAGTGAGTTTCTTCCACCTCTCTACTGGAGTTTTGGACCACTCTTCTTTTACCAGCTGCTCCAGCAGAAGGGACCCTTCTCCCAACTGCTGTTTTGAGATCTCTCCATGTGTACTCTATGGGATTTAGATCTGGACTCATTGCTGGCCACTTCAGAACTCTCCAGCTCATTGTCTGAAAACATTTCTAGCTGCTTTTTGAAGTTTCCTTTGTGTCAGCGTCCTGCTGTAAGACCCATGACCTCTGACAGAGACTCAACTTTCTGACACCGGGCCCTACATTGTGCCTCAGAATTTGTTGGTAGTCTTCAGATTTCATAATTCCATACACACTGTCGAGACATGCAGAGCCTGAAGCAGCAAAGCAACCCCAAATCATCAGTGAACCTCCACCGCGTTTGACTGTAGGGACCATGTTCTCTTCTTTGAAGGCCTCATTTCATTCTCTGAAAACGGTAGAAGGATGTGCTCTGTCACAAAGCTCTATTTTAGTCTCATCTGTCCACAGGACATTCTCCCAGAAGGATTGTGGCTTCCTCAGGTAAGTTTTGGCAAACTCCAATCTGGCTTTTTATGTTTCTGTGCCAGCAGTGGGGCCCCCTGGGTCTCCTACCATAGCGCCCCCTTGCGATTCAGATGATGACGAACAGTGCAAGCCGACACTGTTGTCAGCTTGAATTTGTCTGGAAGTTGATCAGGGTTCTTGATCCACCATTCAAACAGTCCTCTGCTGCAATCTGTCATCTACTTTCCTCTCTCATCCAAACCCATGGAGATTAGCTACGACGCCACGGGCTGTAAACCTCTTGACAATGTTGCACACAGCGGACACAGGAACAGTTAAGATCTCTGGAGCTGGACTTGTAGCCTTGAGTTTGCTTTTCCACTCCTGTGGTTCTCAAATGTTCAGACAATTATTTGCTCTTCTTTCTTTTCTCCTGTAAACCATCACATGCTGGAAATACAATTTCTGATGATTTTGAAAAAGAGTAATTCTGCTCAGTCCATTTCTGGAGTTCTGTGTGGAATATATCAGATTTGGCTTTTTTGTGTTGCTCCAGTGCAAAAAGAAATAAACATGAGAATACCTAAGAATGTTCTGGGAGAAGTGGCGTGTTATCCGACAGAAATGCAGGGGTGCCAATATGTTGGCCATGACTGTAAAATGTTTTAGATATTGATTTATTTTTCTGTATAAAGTAAAAATCATAATTTCCTTCGGTCTCCATAAAAGGTAGTACAAAGTGTTGTCCGTTCCTGTTTGTATGCTTAGTTGTATTTGTGTAATAGCTGCAGCAAGTACAGAATTCATTTCTGAGGACAGCCAACTATTAACAATGGCAACCTTCATCACGTAATGTGATAAATGTGCACTGTATGACTAATCACACAGTTTGATAGATTAATTTTATTCAAAGAGACTTAATGACAGGAAACAGCAGCTGAAATGCAGACAGCAAATGTATTACCTTTAAGTCAACCAACTGAATTTTAAGATCTGCAAGTAATATTGTACTCACATGCAAAAATAGCAGCAAACCATATTTAGAAACTCTAATCACTTGTGAATTGACAGGTCATAAGTGTATTTCAAATTTTTATGGTCACTGAAACTGAAAAATGCTTGTCCAATAGTAATGTGAAATAAAATGCTTATTTCTTTAACCAGAGTGATTGTAAAACTGCTATACCAAGCATAGCAACACAAAAGCATTTCAAAATGTACTAAATATGCCTTGTTTCAAACTTATGGCCTGAAAGACACCCATATATTGCTCTAATCATAAATATTCCAATTTACCAACAGCAGCCAAAGAAACAATTCTCACTTAATTCAATACAACTGAAAAGCTCCAGTTACACTTACCACTACCATTCACCTAAAATATTCAATTAAGATGCATTGCAATGGCGCAAGGTTGTGAAATAGTACAAGGTAAATAACAAAAAGCATAGCGAGGAACAATAAAATGTAAAATCAGCAATCAAATAACTAATACTTAGCTTCTGTAAACCAGTCTGTTGAAATTTTGAAATCTTGCACTGAGCATGTGAATGTACAGTAAGGAGAGTCGAATGCATATGAAAGTTTAAGACAACACTTAACATTAAAGATGACGGTACTTTATCAAACTGTTTCCCTTGTTGTGGAGGATTGTGTGTATTCAGTGGGATGTGGTTTTGGTCAAACATTTCAAGGCCTTCAAATGAAAAGAATAAGATGACAAAAGAATGGCAGCACTCAAGAGGATTTGTGTTCACACGTGTAGTAGCGATACAGGACGCCAACGACAACTGCAACAATAACAGGAATCAACCATGTGGTCCAGGTGTTGCTGGAAACAAATGTAAATATTTATGAAATTAAACAGTGCAATTAAACCAGACTGAACAAATAAGAAAGGCAACAATATGAAGACTTTTTTTTAAACCAACAAACTACAGTAATTGTGATGCATATGAAAACAAGTGTATAAAGAGCAATGAGCCTGACACACAGTATTGATCATGATTACTAACCTGGACTTTCCTGAATTTGTGACATGTTCCCCCTAGAGACAAAAAAAGAGAAAAAGACAAAGTTAAATGAAATATTATATGATTTAGCCACAAACCAAATACTTTTATCATCTTTAAATTCTATTCCAGTGATTATGCTCTTGCAGTTAAAGCAAGGTTAGATGAACAGACGATGGAACTTACTTTCAGGTCCTCATTTTTTCTGTCATCCTACAAAGAAAATCAGTGAATGAGTCCATATAATGGTTGACACAAATTACACTCAAATAAGCCAATAATACAAATGTGCTATGCACTGTAAAGTTCATCTGAAGCTTGAATTCATCAAATGAACTCGGGATCTTCCAGAGTTACAACATTTTACTGAAAAATTTCCTCCATGTTTCCACAATCAGTGCTTTGTTCAGCTGCAGTGGAGGGATAGTAACACATTGATGAATACTGTACTAAACTACCTTGAAAAAAAATGCCCACTTGACCATTAAAAATGTGTTAAGGGCTGTCTGTAAATTGGCTGATGAGCTAAGCTCAGTCTCCAACAGGCGTCACATTTTGCTTTCCAGTAGAAAAGTTAAACAAAATTTGTTGCTATCATTCTTCCTGTGCCTGCTTTGGGTTCCCTGACATACAGTCATGCTATTTTGCCCTAAGGGGCTTTTCTAGCCACTCTACGATGAAGATTAGTTTTACAGTACCTGCTGTCACACAGGCATGATGTGTAATTGCGAATGTTACTAGCAAAAAATTTGTGTTTTAATGGACACAGTACTAATGCTCACCTGACTACACTGTCTACAGGATGTTACAAACCAATTTCCATTTCATTTGACGTTATCGTCCTCTATTTGCTGACAAGCATGTAAATCCCAATTTATTGCATGGCACCATCTTGGGACCCCATGCAACCTTTTTGTGAAACAGATGGTCTGCTGACACCAAGTAATTACTCTGATTATGTTTGATGCAAGCAAGGATAATTCTTTCTTAGAAGTTTATATTCTGTATTTTGCAGATAGATACTGGCATTATGGAAAGATTATACAGGCAGGAAAGTTCTTACCTTGCAAAGCTCCCCAATGTAGTATTGCTGGAGCATCTCCCTGGCATCTATAGAATGACCTACATCCTCAAAGCTTTCTGTGGCATCTCCACCTGCTGCCTCCATTAAAACCTCCTCACCTCCCGGATGCTGAAATCGGTGTGTTGAGGTAGTTAGTTCCTCGATTTGCCCCACACTGAGAATATCACAGAATTCACTAGCAGGGACCTGCTCAATGTGGTTGTATCAAGGAATGTTTATATACTTAGACATGGAATGCTTATGAACTTTGTAGTATGCTTATGCACTTCACGGTTTTGGGGAAGGCTAAGGATGTCTTTTAACAGTTACAGTTAAAGTACTCATTTGTCTATAGTAGTTAAAATTAGCACTACTTGTTGTTTAGTTAAAGTTACTCGTTGGCTAAATGTTAACGTTGACCGTCATTCCTCCTAATGCTAGTCTGCGCATGAGAAACGTTAAGTATCGCTTGACCGAACCCTGTTAAGTCTGAATAACATTATACTGGCAGATTTTTTTTATTACAGGATAACAAATGAAGTCAAATTATCGTCAAATGAAAACAAACTGCAAATGTGAAGACAAAACGCTATCAACCATCAGTTTGTGATTCCAGTAAGTAGTCTTAGCCGAAACGGGAAAACAAAGGTTTATCGGTATCTTAAAGCGAAAAAAAACTCTAATTGACATCACTAGTGCTTAATTTAAATAGTTACTACTAGCCATATGACAGTGACTCTTACCTCTTCAAGGAAACTTGTGATGTCGTATACTTTATCGTGGATGATGAGCCATGTTTCATCGCTCATGTTATGTACTCTTACTTCTTCTAATGTGAAATATTTTACACCACCTTCTGTTTCGCCGCTATCCTCAGTATTGGTGCTATTAACAGCATCAGGATGACTGCTATTATTGGTCATTCCCTTTCCCATTTTAACGTTAATGCGATTAACTTATATCGACTCAGAAGCTAGCTGAAGTTGACTTCCTTTAGCCTGGTATAGATATAACGCTAGCTAAATCTATATAGTATCTAACCCTCTCTGAATCAAGCTATTAAGTATCCAAAACTCCTGACATTACAGAAAAATGAATCGTAAATACCCCTCAAACGCTAAAGTAGTATTAAGAGCTTTAAATAAATAAAAATAAAGCAAACAAAACATGAACACCCCAAACCCTCGGTACCTCAGCAGACTTGTTAAACAGGCCAATAAAACATGCGCAAACACGACAACCAACCAATGAAATTGTGGATTGAAGAGTGGTAGCCAATCACATTCGACCACCTGATGACCACGACACTATCAAATTGGCCACGGTTGTCAACTATACGCTGTCAATGTGCATACGATTTTTTGCGGCTCAAGACATCTATGCGGGCTTATGTTACATTCCGTAACATCTTTTTTGTTTTCGAGGCATTTAAAGCATTACAACAATTTCTCTACTTCAGCTGCAGACCTTTATGCCATACTAGGCAATAAAAACATATATGGAACTGATAAAATTGTATCAACTAATTATTGTCTAACTTGAAAATACATGGTTGTAGGCCTATAGGCACTTTCCTTTTGTTGCACTTTTCTTAGTTTTGGGGATTTAGCTGGACTGAGGCATCACGTCTGAACAGATATACTGAATAGAAATACTGTACTTAAGTAATTTTACATTTTTATATATGAGAATAACTTGCAGTAATGTCCTTTGCTCCTGTGTTATCTAACAAGATAGATGCTTAAATGTGCCTTTTTGTGCTGATAGGGGACCTGTGAAGCATATGTCTGCTACTGATATATCAGTTTACTAACCACAAGATGATACTGGGAAGTATGTGCTTTGACAGTGGTTCACCATGTACTTAACATATTTCATCCTCTGCAGTCACATTTAGGTATACAGTATTTGCTAGCTGTATCAAGTTCAAACCCTGTCAAAACCTCCCACCCCAACAGAGTAGGATATCTGAATACCCTCTTAAACCATGCTAAAGTCCGAACATAATTTAGCTTACTCTATCCTTCCAAATAGAATTACTGTGTCAGAGCCAGGAATACATAAAGATCCAAACACACTATCAGTTTAAATATCACTATCTGTGATGTTCATACCTGTTCCTTTGTCAGAACCAATATTTTGCATTTAATATACAGGGTAATGTGCAATTTGTTTTGTAATGAGCAACTGAAGTACTTAGCTTCGTGCATTAAGATACCAAGGATGGATTCAGTGGTAATTATTTTAAGGCTTTTACTACAATAGGCTACATAAACTTGAACTTACTATCAGTAAGTTTTTCAGTCTAAAAGATAGGTTTCATGTTTTTTTTATTTTATTTGTAAATTAGTTTACACCTCACATAGTATTGTCTAAATAGGCTATAAACACTTTAGCCTATAAGGCAGAAAAGCTACGCATTTTTCAGTTTTCTGATTGGCTGGCATGTTCTCTTCATGATTTAAGATTCCAAGACAAAGATGTGACTTCCTTTACATCTCAGCTGCTTTAAATTAATGTTATTACAAACCCAATTCCAAACAAGTTGGGACACTTTACAAAATGTGAATAAAAACAGAATGCAATGATGTGGAAGTTTCAAATTTCAATATTTTATTCAGAATACAACATAGATGACACATCAAATGTTCAAACTGAGAAAACGCATAATTTTAAGGGAAAAATAAGGTGATTTTAAATTTCACGGCATCAACACATCTCAAAAAAGTTGGGACAAGGCCATGTTCACCACTGTGTGGAATCCCCTCTTCTTTTTATCACAGTCTGCAAACGTCTGGGGACTGAGGAGACAAGTTGCTCAAGTTTAGGAATAGGAATGTTGTCCCATTCTTGTCTAATACAGGCTTCCAGTTGTTCAACTGTCTTAGGTCTTCTTTGTCGCATCTTCCTCTTTATGATG